CAGAACACCTTATATCTATAAGGTTAATTTTTTTTAACATTGTAAGGAATGGAATATGTTTTTATCAAATTCTCCCTACTACTTCCCTGGGATCCACCTCACATGGGGCAAGTGTCAGTTTTCCTGGAGTGATGTGACCCTCAATAGGCTGTGACGCTCCACTGGACAGTCCTCTATCCTTGCATACATTAGCTGTACTAAGTGGTTGCTCTTATTTAACATAGGCATGCCATTTTTAAACTGTAAATTAAGAAATATAGTCTTTTGTTTGCAGAAATCCCTGGACATCTATTTTGATACTATGTAGAAAGCTAAGGACTAGGAAAGGTCCATCCAGAGGGCGAGTTAGTGAGGAAGAGTGTGGCTTCTGTTGTCTCAGATGGAGCAATGAGTGCTGCTCCATTACCGCCACTCTGCCAAGACCTGGGCTCCTCCCATGCCAGCACGTCTCTCATGTGGCAGGACCTCACTGCCCTGTCTTAAAATGATGATCATTATTGCGCCTGTCCTGACCTCCAAGTTGGTCAGGGGGACAAAAATAAAAAAGTGCGCTATGAACCATACAGCTTTAAACAAGCAAACACAACCGTCATATTCTTATCCATTTTTAATCTCCTTCTTTATTTCCCAAAAGTTTTGGGATCTGTTAATTACTATTATGTTAATCAAAATCTGGAGAACATTTAGCAACAGAGAGAAATTTTCAAAAAGAAAGGAAATCAAGCTATAAAGTAAAGACATGGCATAGCTCATAAAGACTGGCCGTCTGACAATAAAGAAAACAGTGTGGGATTGGAGAGGAGGGCTACCTTGTTTTCTTTTGTTATGGACAAGCAGGGCATGGGTTGAGAAAGGAATAGAGAGAGAAATAGTAATACCTTGAAATATTTGAAACAAAAGTAAAGTCGCTTCTTGGGAAATGTACAGTTTATAGTTAACAACCGCATTTGTAGGCGAAGGGTCGCAGTGTTCTTTAAGATTTTAAACAACAGTGGGACCCCCTAAACTGTATGGCTCAACTTAGAGTATAATAAGCTATATAAATGGGAACTGGGAGCTTGAAACAGTCACTGTTATTGAATGGTAACTTCTGTTTCTACAATACTTTATGTGGATAAACAGTTTTAAATTGTTCATACTCTGCATCTCTCTATGGGGCAGAGAAGGCCAACTTTGAATAACGGAATGAACACCGGAAGGTTCTGCTCTAGAACTCTCCAGTAAACAGTTGAGCAAATTCAAAATCCAGTGACGTGTTATTTCATTATAATTATAAAAATGTTAAGCTCTTTGGGTCTCTTCACCTATCAAATGAACATATTAGATGAACTGCTTTCCATTCAAGTATGCTGTTAGTCTATGGAAATACCACGTCCCATCTCCCATGCTGTTAGTCTATGGAAATACCATGTTCCATCTCCTGTGCTGTTAGTCTATGGAAATACCACGTCCCATCTCCCGTGCTGTTAGTCTATGGAAATACCACGTTTCATCTCCCATGCTGAAGCTGTATAAGTTTGTAAAATACTTAATGGTGTTTTAGAAAAATTAGGCCTTCCTTAAGGTCTAAAGATGGATGAACATGACAGCAAACAGGTGTATCCAAACTTCACAATCATGCACATACAGTATGCGACCAGGTAAATACAGTACTTGACAAAGGTTTGCGATGAACGTTGAATTGTCCTCACTAATCTTGTACCGATTGCCCTCCCAACAGCATCTTTGGAGATCTGCTTCTCCCAGCAGGTAAAAGGAAGCTTTTTTATGCTCCACACTACTTTTTCTCATCCATTGGCAGCATCTACTTTTGCACACTGGAATTCAATTTCATTTTACATTGTGACCAAAGGATGAGATGCCACAGGGACCCCCTTCCTTGATATCATTTTATGACTGGGCGGGATGCAGCTGTGCTCTGTGATGCACAGATGCTACCAGTGAAGTTGTCCTAAGTGTTCCTGTATGGTCGGTATGACAGCTTTGTGTTGACAGTATGAACAAGTTACACCGCCATGTTTAGTGGTTATCACTGTATTTCCTTGTACATATCAAAGAAACAGCTCATAAATAGCTCAACAGTCAAAACTCAAGCCGTGTAGACTATTTTAGGGATCTGCAGACATTGTTTCTTAAGATTGGTTGGAAACATTTGTACTCTTTTTCATAAGTTACTCTTTGGGGGCACTCTTGAAGTAGGAACACATTTTTGACAATGTTTCCCTTTAATGATCTTCAGATCCACCAGCTTAACAGTTACATTTAACTTAAAATTTTCCTTAAGTTACAAACCTTTCTGATAACTGTGTCAGCTCACACTGAGCACCAATGTTATGCTATACAGTAATTTTACACCAGAGTGAGGGAAACAAAAAAGTAAGGGAAAATTTGCAACTTCAAACCACTTTGGGGGCAGAACAGGAAGTGTTAAAAATTAAAAAAAAAAAGGAACAAAGAATCAGTGAGTGCTACATTAGTGACTCATAAGCAGATCACCTTTTCCTCATTCCAAAATTGCTGCCTTAGAAAGCAGGTAGCACACTCTATCAAACCATCAACAGCGGCAGCAACCACCACCACCAAAGAAAATTCCCAACCTCCTCGCCAGCGTCCTAACTTAGCACTTTGCCTATGGCAAACAGCACCCTGACAAGGTGGCCCCTTTCGGCTTGCCTGGTCTCAAAGCTGTCACTTCCAGTATTGCCGCATGACTGGGGAGAGTATGGCTGATTAAGTCTTCCAGATATGCCCGTGTGCCCATCACCTAGCATGGGCTGCCACATCACCAAACTCACCGATACATGCCAATGCCACCAGGGCCTGGAGTGCCAGTATTTCTCAGATCCAGACGGGTACATTGCTGACATACAAAATCTGTATAAGAGCTTTGCTAAGGTTAAGGAGCAGATCTGCTGTTCTTAGCTGTTGCAGGGACTCAGAACTAGGCTGGGTAAGACTGAAGGATGTATGTGTTTGTAGGAAAGTTTCCCTGGGAAGGGTCTGGGTGAAAGCCGAAATCCATACTGCAGTGCTCCATTAGAAAGGCGTTGGAGATGGGAGGCTGTGCGCCTACTCCCAGCTCGCTCCCTTGCTCGGGAAGTTAGGTACTCCCTCGGAATAACAGGTCCAATCTGTTTCAGCAGCAGCACTTCTAACAAATAGAAGAAAAACGAATGCAGCGGCTTTCCTCCCACTAATAAATCACTGTGTTTTTAGTATGGATTGAATGTGGCGTCGCAGGCAGCGCAAGCCAGGCTGCCAATCCTGCCCGCTAATGTCTCAGCTCCTTTCATTTTTCACTCGGAGCAAGAACCCCTTCCTGAAACTTGTTCTTTTCACAGAGGGGAAATCGAAGCTCCGGCAGCCTGGCAAGCTGCTTTACTGTCGTCGTTTACAAAGGTCACTGGAATTAATTCACTTCTTACGTTACATATTGTAAACGGACTTTTTTTTTGACACATTTATAGGAAGGGGGCAGGATCTAAGTGGCTGCTCATTGTCTTTCAGTTCTGACATCTGTCATAAACCAGGAAGTCTGAAATCACAGTTTGGGAAAAGAATAACACCCAGTTTCAAAGCAGCAGACTCCATTAACAGTGAGTTGAACTAAGAGAAGAAACGAAAGAGCTCCAGCCGCTGAAATCTAAATGCGGCGTTTGTTGTGATGGCTCCACAGCACCCTTTAGCAGGGGCAGGGAAGGGTTTCACAGCCAGCCTCAGTGGGTGCTGCCGCTTTCAGAGCCTACTCTAAGTAGCCGGCTTCTGCTGACAAGACTGGAAGGAAAAATCAGTCCAGAGAGTGTTCCATGAATCATCACTCCATGGATGCTCAGGGAGTTGACTGGCAGCAATTCTGTCTCAGAGGCGTTGCTTCTGCAACTGAAGATGGGGGACTCAGGGCACAAGTAATATTTGTTGGACCAGGGCACACTGTTTCCCCGAGAGGTATTCACATTTTTTGGCTTCCCTCTTTATGTCTCCGACTGTCTCCTTTTCGCTAATCTAAGAAGAATCCCACTCATGTTCGTAGCCTGCTTTCACTAAAATTACAGGCACCGAAACAAGGACATATTGTTAAAAAAGGAATAAATTAGAGCTGAATTAAGCCACCCAGGTCAGTGAGAGCAAAGGGGATATTACAGTTGGTCTGCACGAGCCATCTTTGTAAATAGGAAATGGACTTTGAAGCCATCCTTCTGTGGTCCTGTTAATTCCCAAAGAAGATGAGAACTCTTCTGGTTCCTAGGACCCTTTTACCTAGCATGGTAGCTCCTGCTGCTGCATTAGCAACCAGCCGTTTGCACTGTCCCTTCCGACCAGTGCGGGAATGGGTTGTTATTAAAAGGAAGTCATTTACCACAATCGGCAAGATGTAGCCTGGCAGAAATTCAATAACTGTTTGTGATTCGCTCATTCTGCTACTCTGCCTGGTGCCTTTCCCTCCTGACACACAGCAGATTCACCTTCATCTCCATCCACTGGGGCAGGGGTTGAAAATGCCTCAAAACAGAAACACGGAGGGCTGCTTTTCACGACCAGAACTGTGAAGAAAAGGACTCCGACCTTTCCCTCTCCCTCTTACACATCTCTGCTTCTCTCTCCTTCCTCCCTCCCTCTCTCTCCTGGTCCTTTCTCCCTGAGCCTCTCTGTCTCCCTCTCTCCTGGCTTCTCTCTCTCTCTTTCCCTTCTCCCCCTGGATCCCCTTCTCTTCTCTCTCCCTCCTCTCTCTCCTCCCCAGGCACTGCTCTTTCTCTCCCACTCACGTCCTCGGATGGGCATTCAAGCTAGTAAAATGCCTGGTTGAGAATCCCACAAACACAGCTAGGCACACACAGAGCCGGAGGGGCTTGCCCAGCCACTCCAAAGTGAAATGCAAAGAAAAATGCCCTTAGAATTCAGGCAAGCAGGAACCATAAAAGGAGAACTGAGGTGTAAAATCACAAGCATCAACGAGACACAAGTAGAGAACATTTAAATAGATAGGTATATTTTAAACTTACCTTGAATTAGCAGCTGCAGGGATAGCCCTCCTCCCGTGTCCCTGCTTGCACAGTCCCTCGGCTGAGATAATCACATGGCTGTCTTCTTTCCCCAGTATAAATAGGTGCATATGTATGTGTACTAAAGTCTACACAATCACATACTATAGATATGCACACATGCAGGCGATGGTATCTCTCTTTTTTTTTTTTTCTAAAATATGAAGGGAGGCAGGCGCCTGCAGCTAGGATTCCTTCTCTTGCCTGGAACTCTATCCGGCAGCAGGCTGACGCTCTCAATCCAGGGAAGAGAGATCCTGCTCGCTGGCTTCTCCTCTCCTTGTTTCCATGGTGGTTAGTGGTGCATCGCTCACCAGATCAGTTGTCACACTGACATGGTGCTGCCTGCTCAGCGGTCATTAATAACTGAACACCCTCCACTCCCCAGAGAGGAGCCAATCGCTTCAGACTGCCAAGATGTAGCACTCGCAGCTGCTCTAGCCTGGTTGGCTGAGGCAGCCTGTCTGTCCTATGACAGCGCTGCTTAGGGTACAAATAAATGAAGCAGGCTTGCATGTTTTTCCTTGGAATCGGTTTCTTTCCTTTTTGCTTTTCCTTTTGGAGGAATGCGCAGGGGTTTCCAACAAGTTTTCCCGTTTGGGGTATTTTCAGTCATTTGGAGAAACTGTGGGTTTTTTTATTTTCCCTCTGAGAACAGATAGAAAACATTTATGAATAAGGATTTTCTGAATATTAACACTTGGTAGCGCCTCCACTCCCTGTCTGTGAAGTTTAGCAGTGGCTTTATATTCCAGGAGGGCAGCCTGCAGCTCTAACAACTGCTGTTTGCTTCCCCACCGTTCCTATTGGATTTAGCCTATGACTGGCAGTTGATAGCGGTCTTTTTCTTTCCCTCTCTTGCTTGCTTTCTTCCTTTCTCCCCTGTTTTTGTGGACGATGGTGATGCTTCCTTTTGTTTGTGTGTGTGTGGTGGTGTGGGGGGGGCATTTGTTTGTTCGTTTAGGCTTTAAAATGACATTTCTTATCTGCACTGACCAGATTTTTAAATTACAGCAAATATTTACTTCTCCAAACCCCACAACATTGTTATGTAAGGGAAAGCATTTAAAAAATAAACTTTTCCAGTAACAACTACTTCTCTAAATCAGATGCCACAAAGTGGATCTATGTTGCCTTGTTTGTGTGTGTACCTGTCTGTGCTTCGCACGTATGATTTATGCTTTTCACTACAATAAATTGAGCTCTTAAAATGATCCTTTTTATTCTTAAGCTTATCAACTACATTGGCTATTTAACCAGGAAAATATTCTGGATAAACATTACATGTAAAACGTTTTGAATATTTAGGGTAGAAACCACCGCAGCATGGTGAAGTGTTCAGCACACGGACACTGGGATGAGCAGAAGAACGTAATAGGCGTGCTTTCGGATAGTGCACTGGAGAAGCCTCTTGAGAAAGCTGCAACATGGGGATCAGTTTTCAACAGGTTAAACTGCTTTATCTGGGACTCCAGCCCTCGCTTTGAAAGTCTGCCCTCTCGTGGAGGAAAAGGAAATGGCATTTATTAGATTTACTGGGGGATGGGGGACAAAAGGGTTAGCTTTGAATTGTTCCCTTAAGGTGTTTATTGAAGTGACTTAGAGCAGGATTCTGCTTCATAGCCAAATGCCAGGAAGCTTAGCCTTACTGACGTTGTCTTTGACTGCCAGATATTTTCATGTTGTAGGGTTTTTTTCTACCAAAAAATAAAAATGTGAATGCTTTAGTTATTTGTTTTAGTGATTAGTCAATGAAGACAGGGCCTTGAACTTCTGCCTAAGCACTTTGAATGCTGCTGTTGCAAGTGTCCCTCAGAATTATTTTTATTTTAGTAAATAATTCATACCCCTAACCTTTTTAATAAAAATGAGTTCAAAACAAAAGTGACTTCTTCATTGGCCAAGTGACATCTTCTTCTGAATGTTATCCTCTTACCAAACACTCTCCAGGTCCTCGAGCATCTCCTTGGGGGCACACAGTGGTGCAGCCAGGGTTGGGGGCACACAGTGGTGCAACCAGGGTTGGGGGCACACAGTGGTGCAGCCAGGGTTGGGGGCACACAGTGGTGCAGCCGGGGAGGACAGTGGTGCCCGGGAAGTGTGCATCTCAGGCAGCTCCGTAGTCCCTAACTTTACTTTCTCCGGTTGGAACGTACTGAATTGCTGTAGTCATTTCAATATTCATAGGGTTTGCTTACACACATAGAAGAATTCTACTATAATTGTAACAACTATTTGGAAAAAATCTTTTTGTATTATCTTGACTCCTTAACCACTTTATTTTGATTAATTCGTACTGATTCTATAATTGTCAAATCCAGAAATCTATTGATTATTATAATCTATTGATTATAATATGCTCCCATAATGAAGATAAGTAGTGAGACTCAAAGGGATACATAATAAAATAACTTTTCAAAATAAAACTGATACTCACATGTAATACTTAAATTCAAGCTTATTCATAAAGTAATAAAATATTTTTATAATTTAGAATTGAATACAATTCTAAAAGATGCCTTATATATAATAGTTTCCTAGAATTTTGTTGTTACTAAATGACTGCTGTATTTTCAAATGTAAGGAATGAGATTACCCTTTTAATGTAGGTGCATGATAAATCAAAAGTAAATTGTACGTGTCTTTAAGTATAATATCATAGGGCGTTACAAATGAGAGTTCATTAGAGGGAAAATTGACTCTGGCCTTGAATGAAGAAACTGAGCTTCTTGGCTCTGGTTTTCCTCCTGTTGAAAATATCAGCAACTTGCAATCAAGTATGTTTGGGGAGTGTCTTAACTTGCCACAAAAGTCAGTCCTTCAGTGAAATATCTTTAATTATCCCCTCTATGATGAAGTATCATATGAGGCATCCAGGTGTGGATGGCTAAAGATTTTGGGGCATTGGATAGCCCAAAAATTGCTTTTGGTCATGACTCTCAATCTGTAGGTCTTGACCCCTTTGAGGGTCAAACAGCCCGTTCACAGGAGTCTCCCGTCAGATATCCTGCCTATCAAATATTTGGAGTATGATTCATCACAGTAGCAAAATTGCAGTTATGAAGCAATCGCTTAATAGTTTCAGGGCTGGAGCTCACCACAACATGAGGAACTGTACTGAAGCGTCATGGCTCTAGGGAGGTTGAGAACACGGCTCTAGAAGGTGTAAATATTACACGTAACTGCTCCGAGAGCCCAAGGTGTGATGTATCTCAGCTCCGCTATTCTGTCATCTAGTGGGTGATCCGCTGCTTCTTCTTTCTCTCGCCTGCTTTCTTCTTTTTCTCCTTCTTTCTTTCTGCGTTTCTTCATTTACGAAATGTTCACAGTACTAATAGAAATTGTACATTGCAGACTCACTATATAAGGACTGTACATTTCATCTATATTGTATATCTGTATCATAGCAGTTATCAGATGAATATTCGATATAATTAAAATGCCCGCAAGAAACTTAAATGTATGAATGAATAGTGAGTCCTTAACTTGTGCTGAAAGAGGCCAGCATTTATCATCAAATAAAAATATCTAAGGATATACTTTTGATGAATTTAGGAGCTAGAATTATTAATTTGGGGACATGTTTGCTGCCATTCTACATTAGGATTTATTCTCCTGTGCCTTCCTTTGAGAAGCAGTCAGGGCAATGAGCAGCCTGCAGGGTCAAGACCAAGTGGCTGGTTATGAATCCTTACCTGCCTCCTGATCTGTGACCAGAACATGTGTCAAGTGTCATCTCTGTGAAGTGTCACCAGGGAGCGAAGCTTAATAGCATCTTGGCATATCATTTTCCTCCTCGGATTCTTCTGAGGATTAAAGTAACCGATAACTACACAGAGCCTCGGAAAGTTCATGTGGTGTAGTAAACCTGGAGGCTGAGCTTCGTTTCTTTCCTTTCCTATCCTGTGGACGTTGTCAAGCACGTTAGATGCCATTCTCTCTCTCTCTCTCTCTCTCTCTCTCTCTCTCTCTCTCTCTCTCTCCTTGTCACCCTCATCTCATTCTCCAGCAGCACTATTGTAGTTTTGCCTGAGACTCTCCCTTGTTTGCAGTGCCCTTTCTACTGACTGTTCTATTTCTTGACTTTTTTATGCCTGCCCATTTTTCAGCACGTTCCTCCAGCCATGATTCACTAGCAGAGAGATCTCTTTTTGGCCCCAGAAGCATGCTGATTTCTTAGCAACTTAGCACTTCTCATCATTGTTTCTGTAAGTTTCTAGGATTCTCAGAAAGGGGGGGTTTATGCCTTATTATGTCTTTAAGATCCCCCCCACCACAAGAGAGTAAAAGAGAACTTTTGTTGAATGCTAGTGTACACCTGGGTTTGTTTTACAAGTTGTTAAATAGATATCTTTATAATAGATATTTTTATCCCCACTAGACAATATGGTAACATGGAAAAATGTGCTTATTTGCCCAGTGTCCCCAAACTATTAAATAAGGGGGTCAAAATTTAAACTAAGTCTGTCTGCTTACACAGTCAGTGCTCTGTACACTGCACAGGGCACTCAATATTCATTTGTAAAATAAATGAATATTTGATTGATAGCTTTGCCAGCCAATTCCATGTAGTCAGTAACAAGGGATGCCAGAAATAAATTACTATTTTTAAAAAGAAATGGATTTTATACACTAGACAGTAGATGCTTTTGTACTGTTGTATTGTTTAGTGCTGGTGACAAAAGTTTATTGCTGTTATGATTTGAGAAATAAAGCTGTAAGAAATAGAGGTGCCTAGTCAGACACATGTACTGATATGTCCAGAGAGCTAAATACCCATGGATAAGCTGCTGGTGATAGCGGACTGACACTATGAAGGTCCCCAGTGGTTTGGCCTTTGTAGACTAATGCTAATAGCAAGTAAGTTCTCAGCTTGAAGACATGGCTCAAGGTGAGCAACCCTGGTTGTTGTTTCGGTGCTGAACTAAATCACATTGGATACCAGTTTTCATTTTCCTTCCCAAAGGAGACTTAGCTTGTAGAATTGCGCATAAAACCTGAGGTCTTTTTTCCCCCTTCCCTTGTGATAATTTCTGATTTGGTCAAAAAACAGCGAAGGCTTTTGTTAGGGACAGAGCCACAGGAAACGACAACACAAGAGAGTATTCAGCAGGCACAGATTCAGATTCATCCAACAGACAGACAGACAGACCAAAGAAATGAGGTCCTTACTTAACTATTATTTTCAATGAAGCTTATGACTTCCTTTGAAGAAAAGATGTAAATTTATCAATCAGAGTACAGCGAAGACCAGGAAACTTGTGAGGCATCAGGAGGAAACATTCTTAATTCTTATTTTGTTCTCAAATTCTGTCCTCCACCTTTCTGCATTTGTTTTCATTCAGGCCCAAAAGGTTTCTTTCTTCCCTTAGATCTGCCTGTCTTAGTTCTTGTCTT